CTCAGTACTTGGACCCATCCTGTTTCTAATATATGTAAATGATCTTCCAAAGGGTATAGACTCATTCCTCTCAATGTTTGCTTGGGATGCAAAAATTATGAGAAGAATCAAGACAGATGAAGCTAGACAGAGACTACAAGACGACCTGGACAAACTATAGAAATGATCTAGAAAATGGCTGCTGAAGTTCATCTCAGAAAAGTGTAAAGAGAGATAAGAGTACCGTGTCAGTGTAGGGATAGCGAGCACACTGGGAGCAGCGTCGCGGGCGCTCTGAAGGCGGGGTCACCCGCTGGTCTATATAATACAGTTGACAACATTTAGGTGTTTTACGGGCTATTCATGCCCGTGCCACCTCTTGGGTGGCTTAATCTTTATAAATTAATCATTTAGGAGTCACTGGTCCAAAAATAGTCCCCGGGAGCTTTAGCTCGGTAGCTAAAAATGCATAAAATTATATAACACTTCCATAAAACATGTATATACTAATTTACTCAACATAAATACCAAATGCCAAGCGTCAGGACAGCGTCAGGATTTTGTTCTTGTCTCGATAAACATACTTGGACTCTGATCAAATGGTAGAGTGTGTTTCTAAACTTAAGAACATAAGAACAAAGTTAACTGCAGAAGGCCTATTGGCCCATACGAGGCAGCTCCTATCTATAACCACCCAATCCCTCTCATATACATGTCCAACCAACGAACATAAGAACATAAGATTTCTAATTTGGGGAATTAACTAAGTCATCCCACGCTGGACACGTTGAAGTGAATTTATATCCATTCTATAGTACGGCGACCAAAACTGAACTGCATAATCTAAATGGGGCCTAACCAGAGCAAGATATAGCTGTAGAAACACACTCACACAACTTGTGTGTTTCTAAACTTGTGTGAGTGTAGAGTTGCTCCGGAGGTGGTGGAGGCAGCATCTCAGGGGTGTGGAGTAGCCCTCAGTGCTCTAAAGTCTGCAGAGTCAAGTATACAATATACTTCAGAGTTCCTTTCATGGCTGAGGGAAGGTAAGTCTCACTTTCTCTTGAAGTTAATATATTGCTACTCCAGACACCGAATTTCTCTCACTACTAGCAGGTCGACACTTCTGATATGAGTGGCTGTGTTGTGAGTGGCTGGGTTGTGTATAGCTGTGTTGTGAGTGGCTGGGTTGTGTAAAGCTATGTTGTGAGTGGCTGCGTTGTGAGTGGCTGTGTTGTGTATAGCTGTGTTGTGTGTGGCTGCGTTGTAACTGGGTTGTGAGTGCCTGTGTTGTGAGGGGCTGGGTTGTGAGTTCACAATGTGATTGAGGTGCATTTACAAAGTCATTATAATTCTAACTAGCATAACTATATCTTTTCGATTATCCTACTTTTTTTTAGTGAAATAGATCTGGTATCTATTGTGTTACTGAGTTCTCAACCGCAGGCGATTAAAGTACTTTTGCAAGTTCAAGTTGTAATTGCATCACACATATTACCCAACTGGCGGATTACACAGTAAATTTTGGGTACAGGTCCTGTATATCATCGAGTGTTCCAGTATTAAGATAGTATTTACAGAGTTCAGCATATCTTGACCCAAGGCGTCGGAAGTCAGTCAGCATGAGATATTCTACAATATAATATTCAAGTGAATGCATGATTTCTCTTAAATGTGTGAGTAATGAGCGGGTAACCCGTCCTCCTAATAGAGCGTCGCATTTTGACGTATACTTTACCTATAGCCAAAAAATCGTCTTTCTACAAAATGTTAGCGGCTCGCGAAATTGACATACTGTCTCTTTTTTCTGTTTTGGGGACTTGGTTAGGATAGGGGACTTTAGTACGACAGTTTCTTGACGTAGGGAAATCTTAGGAGGGCGGGTTGTTGAGTAAGAAGTGGGAGTAGTTGAGGCTACCTCCATACATATAGTTTCAAGAGCGCGTATGATAGGAATCATGAGGGTCGGGGATTATTACAATAGACAACTGGCGACTGAACTCTGAGGCCCAGGAGCTGATGCTCAACCTGCAAGCGTATATAGGTGAGCATGCACTTTCGCAGACTTGAAAAAATGCTTTCAGGAACTGAGAGACACAGTTGAAAAGTCGGGGCCCAAGAGCAGACGCTCGGTCATACAGACACAATTAAGTGAATACACATAACGTTACCCTACATGCACAGATACGCAAACAAACAATGCCTGCATTAATTACATATTTGTCTTACCGTCAACGCCTGACGACCGGTGAAAGCCCGCAAGCAACAGCGTTAGGAGACACTAGCGTCATGCAGGTGAGTGAGTGACCAATCAGAGTACTAGCACCATAATGTTCACGGAGCCCTGCCCAGCATCACAAGCATCCTCGTACCAGGTACTCCACCGGACAGAATAAATACCTACAGGGAGAGAAAGAGACTGACTGATAAATCTAAAAGTCTTCCAATTATATATTTCTTTATTCATGTTTTGTGTTAATAATATGAATACTAACACCAACGTCTCTGTTGAACGCTAGTGTTCGTTTGTTTTGCGTTTTGGACCATGAAGTCCGCCATCAACGATACGAAAAATAACAACATATTGCTAAAGCTATGACCTAATAATCATGCTTACAAATTTGTATTAATATACGAGCGTAGTGATTAGTGCAGATGACTGCAACCGATTGATCATGAGTTGGATTCCCTGGCAGGGGCGAGAAGTTTTGGCAAGTTTCCTTACACACGACTGTCTCCTTTTGACTAGCTGAAAATATAGGTATCCTGGAATTAGGCAACTGTTATGGGTCGCATCTTGGAGAAAGCCAGTCCTTATAGCCTAGGACGCGCTCGCCAAGCCAATAGGCTTCCTCTCCACGACAACGCGAAACTGAACATTAAATACGGTAGCTAAAAGTCAAATCATACATGCATGATCTATGGAAAAACTAAATTAAAAAACAGACTATAATAATAATAATAATAATAAGTAAACTTTTATAACAATAGTGCGTGAAGAATTAAATTCAATTTCTTTATCATGCACCCCATATCCATCCTGTGGGGGGGGGGGGCGGTGGAAAGGGTTACAGAGTCACATAATGGGTTCAGGAACTGAACCCCCATAGTTCGTTTAGCTAAGCACGTGACAATCTTGTGATGCTAGTTACACAAATGTTAATGTTACATACACATGTACATATATAAAAATTCATTTACACAAATCATATCAATAATGTTTTATATCATAAATGATTCAACAAGAGCCTCACAACAGTCGCTATACAAGGCACTTTACATCTATGGTGAGTCACACAGTTACTAACCTTGCTCCACACCCACCCAACTGGGCTTTACAGTCATGAGCAGCTGCACCTACAATAAGCAAATTTTGGATACTTCGCTAAGATTCCAGGCAGTACATCATTATGAATGAAGTACTTACACATTTCTTGGACTCCATTGATGGTGTTATCTCTGAATTCCGCGATTTTTTCACATTAAATTATATAATGACGCAAAGTATCCGAATAGTTCTGCTGACAGAATTTACATTTAGTCAAGTCTACATCAGCAGATGTTACAAACTGCCAGAGGTACTTGTAGCCGAACCTAAGCCTAGCAGTGGTAACATCTAGAAATCTGCTAACCTTATTGGATGACCCATAGACATGCGGTTCTTCCTACATAATAGAATGATGATAGATGGAGTAACTAGTGTTACTTTGTTTCACTTTGCCTCAAGTCTACGAGATTTTGTTGATGTTCCCAGAATATTACTGCCTTCAGACTGCTCAAAGGCAGTCCAAGATGGTAATCAGTTCCCTCTTTACGGGTAAAGATTTTGGCTAACTCATTAGTTCTATCATGCATTCGGAGACCAGTATGGGATGGAATCCACAGGAGACAAAATCTGACTCCATCGTTGATTATTTAATTATATGTGTCTAACTTCAGATACAGGCACATCAGAGTTATACCTTGGGGAGCTGAGGACAGTCAAGTATGACAAGGAGTCACTTACAATTAGCGTGACATCTTTGGATTTATATACGCGCTCGAGTGCAAGAATTATGGACGCAACCCGTCCTCAGACCAAGTCCATTCTATCCAGTGGTTGACCCCAAAAACGCATTCCTCAATTTTAACATTCTGTTCACTCAAAACAGAACTTTTCTTAAATATAAATTAACATTATTATATATTAGCATATTGTGCATATTTAGGCACTGGTTAGGTTAGGTGTTAAGGTTCTGTTGGCGATTATTTGTATTTGTAGTACGTGGGATGCAATGCTTTTACCAACCAACCCGTCCTCGACTCAAGTCCATTCCATCCAGCGGTCGACCCCACAGACGCATTCATAAATTTTTACATGCTGTTCATTCAAAACGGGAATGTTCTCAAATATAAATTAAATTATAATATATTAGCATATTGTGCATATATAGGCATAGGTTAGGTGTTTAAGTTCTGTTGCGATTATTTGTATTTGTAGTACGTGGGTGACGCATTTACAGCGTTGTGGTTCGAACAAAATTCGTCAGTAAAGCACTTATTCCGGAAGTGTTCGGACGTCATCAGTTGTGAGTCGTGTGTAAACCGTTTTTCATTCATAAACAGCGGGTTTGGCGGGTGCATGGAATCACTTTTGGGTCTTTGTTTGGAGGACAAATATATTATAATATTAATATATTACAATATTAATTATAATTATATTAATAATTAATATTAATTAATATATTATAATACTAATATTTATAATATTAATTTATATTTGAAAAAAATCCTGTTTTGAATGAACAGCATGTTAAAATTTATGAATGTGTCTGTGGGGTCGACCGCTGGATGGAATGGACTTGAGTCGAGGACGGGCTGTGAACTGAGGTATGGAGTTGATGAGTCGAGCCCTCATGTTACCTGTGTACGAAGATTATTCTAAGTAGATTAGGTCGAGTCTGCATTTGGTTGTCAAGACTGGATGCATTGAGGTTTCCCAACGTCAAGAAAACGGTAAATATAAAGTGTCCTCTCCTAACCTACCAGAGGACCCGCCACTACTTGTTGACACACTGCTGGTCGCTTACAGCCTGCAGTACAACGCCACATGGTCCTGCGCATTCTACCCACCGAACACAAACCGGGCACTGTTTACCTCTTATCGTGATGGCCGTCTGTAAATTTTCTGTTTTGAGGTGGGTTGGAGCGGCTTTAACGAACTAAAATATTACTTGTCACCCCCTCCCCTTTTCCGGTAATTTGACCCCAATGCTTCCATGTAGACTGTAAACCTAAACACCTAACCTAACCTACGCCTAATTACACATAGATTCAGATCAGATTCAGATGTTTATTCAGGTAAGGTATATACATACAAGTGATGTTACATTAATGGATTGATATATAGATAGATCTAGTACATACAATGCCTAAAGCCACTATTACGCAATGCGTTTCGGGCAAGAAAACATTAATATCTAGAACTTAATACTAATTGAGCATAAAGAATAAAAGATGTTGAGAACAAATACAAATAAAGATAAAAAAAAGGGGGAAACATGACTGAAAAAGCAGCACAAATACAATAGGTTGACAAACAGTGTTGATTAAAAAAAAAAAAAAAAAGAAAATAACAGACATGGGTTGACAATAGAGGAGTGAGGTAGATTACAGGGAATTTATTAGGTAGTGTTTAGTTTTTATCTTAAACTGGTTGAGAGAGGTACAGTCTTTAACATGGTTGGGAAGGTCATTCCACATTCTGGGCCCCTTGATTTGCAGAGCATTTCTAGTTTGATTAAGACGTACTCTAGGAATATCAAAACTGTATTTATTTCTGGTGTGGTGCTCATGGGTTCTGTTACAACCTACTATGAAGCTTTTAAGATCAGGATTGGCATTATAGTTTAGCGTTTTATATATGTATAATACACATGAGAGAATGTGCAGAGACTTAATATCTAACATATTAAGAGATTTGAGTAGGGGTACCGAGTGATGTCTGGGGCCAGAGTTGGATATTGTTCTAATAGCGGCTTTGTGTTGGGTAATTAGAGGACGTAAGTGATTTTGGGTAGTAGAACCCCAAGCACAAATACCATAGTTGAGATAAGGATAGATAAGGGAGTAATAGAGAGTCACCAGGGCAGGGCGTGGTACATAATATCTGATCTTAGAAAGAATGCCCACAGTTTTTGAAACTTTTTTAGATATATTTAGAATGTGTCCCTGGAAATTCAGCTTGTGGTCAATGAGAATGCCAAGGAATTTGCCATCTAATTTGTTACAAATTTGGGTATTGTTTATTTTGAGATTTATAAGACTAGAGGATTTATTGCCAAACAGAATATAGAAGGTTTTGTCAATGTTAAGGGTGAGTTTGTTGGCAGTTAGCCAAAGATGGACTTTATTTAGCTCAGTATTTACTGTGGCATTTAGAGCAAGAGGGTCAGGACTGGAGTAAATGAAGGTTGTGTCGTCAGCAAATAGAATTGGTTTGAGGTGTTGGGAGGCATTTGGAAGGTCATTAATGTAGATGAGAAAGAGGAGAGGGCCAAGTATGCTGCCCTGAGGAACACCAATGTTGATGGGTAGGGTGGGAGAAATTGTATTATTCACAGAAACATATTGGAGCCTGTCAGTAAGGTAGGACTCGAGGTATTGTAGGGAGTGTCCTCTGACTCCATAATGATGTAATTTAAGAAGAAGGTTATGGTGGTTGACAGTATCAAAAGCTTTACGCAGGTCCACAAATAACCCAACAGGGAACTCCTTTTATCAAGAGCTGTATGAATCGAGTTAAGCATACTAATAAGTGCATCGTTAGTGCTTTTTTGGGTCTGAAGCCATATTGGCAAGGGCTAAGTATATTGAGTTTGGCTAGATATGAGTAAAGCTGCTTGTATATAAGTTTTTCAAAAATTTTTGACAAGTTTGGCAGGATTGATATAGGTCTGTAGTTGTTAACATCTGTGGGGTCACCACATTTGTGGACAGGCGTTACTCTCGCTTTTTTTAGAATATCTGGAAAGGTTTGGAGTTCAAGTGACTTGTTGAAGAGCAAAGCAATAGCAGGGGCTAAAGATCTGGAGGCTTTTTTGTAAATTAAAGTTGGTATCTCCTCAAGGGCACCAGACTTGGTTTTAAGGGAAAGGATTATCTCATTGACGTCAGTGGAGTTAATAGGCTTTAGGTACAGAGACTGTGGATAGTTACCTGTAAGATAGTCCTTAATGTCAGTACTGGAAGATGGAATATCATTTGCAAGGGATGAACCAATGGAAGAGAAGAACCTATTAAACTCAATAGCAGAATCAGAGGCTGAAAGCTGACCATCGTTATTAGACAGGAGAGTCGGTTTGTTATTTAAAGATTTCTTTGATCCTAATATTTGTGAAATTGTGCTCCAAGTTTGTTTAATGTTGCTCTTTATTTGAGTAAATTTATCTTCGTAGTAATTAGTTTTGGCTCGTCTAATTATCTTAGATAGCAATAATGAGTAATTCTTTGAGAATTCTTTGGAGACAATTCCTAACCTATACTTCTTCTCAAGGTCGTGTTTTTTGTTAATGGATTTCAGTATTCCCTTTGTAAGCCAAGGATTGTTAAGCCTTTTGCTTGTGACTTGTTTTGTAAGCCTAGGACAGTGGGTGTTATAAAGGCTAAGAGTTGTTTGTAGAAAAGATTGCACTGCTAGGTTGATGTCCCCTATGTTACCTAACTCGGACTCCCAGTTGACATTATCAGCAGCAGTTATAAAATTGTTTATAGCAGTTTCATTGTGCAGCCTAAAGCTTAACTCCCTTGTTTCTAGAGGTGGTTTGCTAATGTTAGTTAAGAGAAATGTGGGGTAGTGGTCTGTAGTGCTATCGGTGATTATACCTGAAGTAAGCGGAGAGGTTATGTTGGTCCAGATGTGATCTAGAGTCGTGGCAGTGCTATCAGTGATTCTAGTAGGTCTAGTGATTAAGGGTATGAGGAGGCAGGAATTCATACAGTTGAGGAAGCTAACAGCAGTAGGGTGTTCTGGCTCGCAGAGGTCAATATTAAAGTCCCCTGCGATAATTAGGTGGTTTTTGTTCAGTCTGTTATCAAGTATTAGATTTCTAAGGTTTGAGTTGAATCCAGACACATCAGTGTTGGGAATTCTATAGACTGCACCCACAGACAGGACAGACTCGGCACCCTTGACTCTGAAGCTGGCGAAGATATACTCCCCATAGCAGTCTCTAGTTCTAATTTCTTTTAAGCATGTTAGTTCTTGGTGGTAGTAAAGAGCAGTGCCACCACCTCTCTGAAGTTGACGACAGTTGTGAATTGCTGAGTAGTTAGGCATGTTAAAGAGTTGAGTAGTATCCTCTTTCAACCATGTTTCAGTATATAATATATATATAATATATGTGAGAAAGCTGCATGAACGCGCAAGCCATAGATCACTAAGAACTCTATGATCCGGCCAGGATTCGAACCCATGCCGTCCAGGATCACCCCTAAACGTACACAGTACCGTGACCACCGCACCAACGGGTCAAAGAGTTCTTAGTGATATTAATATATAAATGAGAACAAATCTATTGTTAACACACCTGCTCCTGTGTAAGTTAGGTAAGTGCCACTACGGCTGAATCTCACTATTGTTAACAGTTAGCCCCGCTCCTGTGCCTCCACTACGGGCTCACCATAGCCCGTGCTACTTGGAACTTTTTGTTCAGAGTACCTGAATCTAAAACAACTATTGTTTATAGATCTTTTACGGGCTATTCATGCCCATGCCATTTCTTGCGTGGCTTAATCTTCATCAATCAATCTATAGTTAATACACAATACGTTAAAATTGACTAATACGTCTTAGGAACGGCCGCAGCTTTAACGAGCCTGGCTTGAGTACGGGTTGCTTATTTGTATCATATCTGACCTTTTAAAGTGGTCATATGTAGTTTGCAGTGTTGTTAGCCTTTGGCCCTCAACCGTTCCTTAGTTCTGGAATAATTTTTGTCGCCTGATGTTAAACTTTCTTCAAAGCGAGTCTTTCTAAAGACCCATGCTTAGATATATTGATCGAACTGGGAGCGCACCAGAGGTTTATACAGTTGAATAACTACCTTCTTTTCCTTTAAGTCAAATGCTCGTTTGCCTGTTCTTACGGTTTGGTTGGATTTTTTACTGCAGCTCCCACTTGATGTGCAATTTTCGGTGACTGGTGGATTCTGACTCCAAGGACCATTTCTGCATCAATCTACTGCACGGTAATATTGTTAATATCGTAGTTGTGATGTGTATTGTCATACCCCAACATGCATGGACATACCCCAAGTTGCATGGACATACCCCAACATTTTTCGATATTAAAAAACATTTGCGACTTCAGTCTTCCGACTATTTGTGTAATTCATGTAGCCCTCTTTGTAAAGCCTAAATATGCACAATATATGCTAATGTAATATATTAATTTATATTTGAGAACATTACTATTTTGAATGAATAGCCATGTTAAACTTGATGAGGGCGTCTTTGGTGTCGGCTGCTAGATGGAATGAACATTGCATCGATAGCAATTTTAACAAAACTATTATGCAAACGTTCAAGGCTGTGGTGTTCTGTGTTGCTGTGGAAGTCTTGGATGTGGGGTTGATATAAAGCCATTGCTTGGTTACTGACTTTAATACTTACATTGGTACATCTTCTTCTTGTTGATAGTAGGTGCAGTTTGCATGAAGGGTTTACCCTTCCGATGACTGCACCAGGGTACATTGCTACATGAATAGCAGCGTCCAAGCGTGGCGGGCGACCTGCACGCTCCCTGTTGTTTACATACTGCTGGCGTATGAAACGCAGCGCATACAAACGGATGCTGCCGTTTGCTGAGAACATGACAAGGCCATATGCAATAATAATTTGTATTTGATATTACTATTTTTTAAATAGGATTTCTTATAAACATATACACCATTATGTACGGCTGCTGGACTGAAGACGATATCTAATTGATTGATTTAATACCATCACCTACAGGACATGTCGATACTTGTGTCGTCTGCTACTATACTGACGCAGATGGTCGTGTCGCACATCGTCCGAGGCCGCTTGAGTGAAATAGTACGGAGCCAGCTGGTGAAGAGCTGCCTTCTGGAGCTGGTCGCTGCAGCGGAGATGTGTGCCACCTCTACGGAACTGTCCAGAGGTGAGTGCCTGTGGTGTCGCTTCCTTCTGAAGTCGCTGCTTGGGAGGGTTATGGGACTGCAACGTAAGGACATAAGGACACTGTGGTTGAATGGGATGGTCATAACATCGAAACTAGCCTTAAGGTTGGGTAATGGCCTAGAGGATACAACAGAATGCAATTGTAATTTGACACAAAAATCGGAAGAACAGATGGAAAAACTCACAACAGGATACAAAAATTTGCATGTGTAAAAGATGGAGGACAAACAAAAATGTACTCAATAGAAAATTGAATGATCTAACCTGTATTGCTATTCCCTCGCTGTTCCTTCTAGTGGCTCGGAATTGTGGGATGCCGGCATACAGTGTCTATCTATTCCTGATCATCTTGTGCCGAGACAGGACCTGGGGTAGCAGCGTCACCGCCTGCCCCTACAGCCTGCTGGAGGAGTACGTGGAGGTCGGTGCCAACCCCCTCCATGTTGCACTCAAAGTTGTTGCTCAGCTTGCTGGCGGACTCGCGTCCATCAAGTGAGTGAAAATGGTGATATATTTAACAATGTCTTAACTTTAAAACAAATATTATATTTACTAGAGTAAAAAGATTAATGCTCATCAGCTATCAATAAGAATGATAATAATAATAATTGTTAATAATAATAATTAATAATAATACACCGTCACATTTTTCATCACGTGTTAATTTTCGTGATTTACACAAATAATAATAATGTTTATTTGGGGAAGTGCATGTATATAAAATGAGTTACAAGAAGAATGTTTAATTTCTAGATAGAGAATCGTTGTGTAAATAATGAAATTATTTAATAGTTGCAGCTTGTCCTCATAAACAAAGACCCAAAGTACATTCCATGCAGCCGCCAAACCCGCTGTTTATGATTGAAAAACGGTTTACACACGACTCACAACTGATGACGTTCGAACACTTCCAGGACAAGTGTTTCACTGACGAATTGTGTTCGAACCACAACGCTGTAAATGCTTCACCCACGTACTACAAACACAAATAATCGCCAACAGAACCTAAACATCTAACCTAACCTATGCCTATGTATGCACAATATGATAATTTGTAAAATTAATTTATATTTGATAAAATTCCCGTTTTGAATGAACAGCATGTAAAAATTTATGAATGCGTCTGTGGGGTCGACCACTGGATGTTTTTGGACTTGAGTCGAGGACGGGTTGGCCTGAACACCTAACCTAACCCTATATATGAAAATCTAACACCTAACTTAAATATGAAAATATATAATAATATTATTTTATATTTGAGAAAATTTCTATTTCAAATGACCAGCATGTTAAAATTGATGAATGTGTATTTGAGGGTCCGGTCGGCCAATGGATGAAATGAACATAGCCCGTGGACGGAATGTGAGATGTTTAGCCAGTAATATTCTTGTGTATGTATTATAACGCTGGCACCTATCCCGCAGGTGGGCAAAACATTTATGGATGACAGAGGTGGCAGAAGCACAGGGAAGCCTTAGGGTTGATGACTGTCTGGCCGCACTTCAGGTACCTGTTGCTGTTGGCTTCCTGTTGGAGAGTCTCCTGACTTGCTCTTGTCGCCTCTTCTCGAGAGCCCTGGGCGAGGTAAAGCCAAAGTTTGCCTCTGCTATCGACTCCTTCTTTGCCACCTGTATGGTTCTAGTAGGTGAGTAGAGAGTAGCCTTTGTAATTCAATCTGATCTAATTCATCTGTGCACAATACCACAATGAAGCTTTTATGAAACTTTCTCTAGGTAGTGTTCATAATTTTATGCGGGTACAACTCAACACAGCAATAAATTATGTAATACACGTAATCCATAAAATAATTTGGTATTTATCTCAAAGCAGCTTTTATAATTGTTGACAAAAGATCGTCTAATTACTGTTGTGCAGCTCTGTACCAGCACACACTAAAATCTTTATATAGCTCGACCCTCACCTTCAGACTTAAGTGGCGATTTATTTCTCACTGAAAATAACTTTTGTTATCTGTAAATTATAAAGCACATAACTATGAAACTTTAAGACAAAATTTTCCCGCAGCTTTTAACTACTCCGGCGGATACTTCAACCCGGTGTTGGCAACAAGCATGAAGTGGAGTTGCCGCGGTCACACCAACACAGAGCACATCATAGTGTACTGGGCAGGCTCCACCATGGGCGCCATGCTCTCGGTCAGGCTCTGGAGCCTGGTCACCGTCAAGAGGGCTCTCGTTGGCCCCTTCACCTCTAAGGATAAGAGAGTAACATTCCAGAAACTATCCACTGCTATCTATCCTAATGGAAGAATACTTGCGAAGAATTATTGACTATCAATATATCCATGGACAGCTTGCTTTAGAGTAAGGTGATCCAAGAAAAGTATCAGAGGCTTATACTTATAATATATACTACTATTTTTCATATGAGAAGTATCGCTATTACCATAACCACATTTATCTTTCTCCAATGTACGCATGAGTGGTTATCTTGAGAAGATTTCGGGGCTTAGCATCCCCGCGGCCCAGTCCTCGACCAGGCCTCCTTTTTGTTACACATCCCCCAAGAAGCAGCCCGTAGCAGCTGTCTAACTCCCAGGTACCTATTTACTGCTAGGTGAACAGGGGCATCAGAGTAAAAGAAACGGCCCATTTGTTTCCGCTTCCACCGGGAATCGAACCCGGAACCTCAGGACTACGAATCCGAAGCGCTGTCCACTCGGCTGTCAGGCCCCTCCGGTCTGATGTACAGACCTCTGGGATAATGGTGCTCGTGCTCATGGCACACCTGATACTTCCCTTTACCGGGGGATAACTTCTACTGCAGCCCGTCCACCAAACAAAGACCCAAAAGTGATTCCATGCACCCGCCAAACCCGCTGTTAATGAATGAAAAACGGTTTACACACGACTCACAACTGCTGACGTTCGAACACTTCCGGAACAAGTGCTTCACTGACGAATTTTGCTCGAACCACAACGCTGTAAATGCTTCACCCACGTACTACAAATACAAATAATCGCCAACAGAACCTAAACACCTAACCTAACCTATGCTTATATATGCACAATATGCTAATTTATTATAATATTAATTTATATTTGAGAAAATTCCTGTTTTGAATGAACAGCATGTAAAAATTTATGAATGCGTCTGTGGGGTTGACCGCTGGATGTAATGGACTTGAGTGAAGGACGGGTTGTCTACTGGCACAAACAAACCCAATTACTCTTTATCCTACCATTGGGAGGTGCTCGACAAGTGACTTGTGTTGCATAGCTTGCCTGTCCAGCTGTTATTGTGGTTATCGGGTGGTTTTAGTTTTACAAAAGTCCTGTAACAGGTCTTTACTATATTACTAAGGTGTGTAGCCTAGTTGTAGAATACATCGTGGATTTATAAACATGAATACTAAATTTGTATAAAAAAATAGGCAAGACTTATTCTAGTTTTTTAAATTTAACATAAATGATAAAAAACTGGCCACAGTACAAAATGTATACGTAAGCATACAATTATCGAATCTACATGTTTTTTCATCAATAAACAGTACCACTGAAAACCTTTATGAATTGTCTTGTCACACCATGCTTAATATGTTTATTTTGATTCGTTTATAGCCTCGACAAAAGGCAGCAATTTCATTTAAATTTGTGATTCTCAAATATTCAGACCTCTCGTGATATTTGTTACAAACAGTGAACGTTGCATAAAAGTATGACAAGCCACCAGCTTCCTGTCCCCGTTGAGGCCACTAGATAGATGGTGGTCCTCGAGTAAATTCAGGTGAAATCCTTCTACTTGCAGTATGGTTGAGAGAATTTCACGTTCACGTCGATAAGAAACTACTCCCATCAGGGACTGGAGGGGTGATGGGATCTGGGGCAATGGCGGGAACGGACAGACGAGAACACGCCCAAAGCTCTCTGGCTATGAGAGTCAGCTGCCGGCTCTTTTTTTTTTATTGATAAAAAATACAATAAGAACGGCAATCGCCTGAACATACATTAACAGGGATACAAACAGACATAAACAGGAAACACATATACAAGGGCGTGATAACACGCACGTATACAACACAAACAAAATTAAAAATGAATTCGAGTACAGAAACAAGAAACATAAACATGTAACAAACAAAATAAGGCCTGAAAGGCCACGCGACACAGAGAAGCCAGACAATACACACAGAGGACAAACACCGGAACACAAAGGAACCGGGGAAACACACTACACAGTGCCCAAAGCAAACAACCAAACACAAAACTCAGGCATTCCACTACGACATATACATGCCAACGGTAAGTTGACCAGACCACACACTAGAAATTGAAGGAACGACGACGTTTCGACTTGAGAATCGACTTGAGAATGGTCCAGGACGGACCGAAACGTCGTCGTTCCTTCAATTTCTAGTGTGTGGTCTGGTCAACATACTTCAGCCACGTTATTGTGACTCATCGCCTGCATGCCAACGGTAAGCTACATAAATACAAGAAAATAAGGCAACGAAGTGCCCCACAACATAAAACACAACCACCACCGACACAAGCACACCACAACCCGTTCTCGCAAATTCGTATAGTCAATATTGACTTATTAACTACATGCATAGGTGATATACTAACCATAATAGATACCCTTAAAAAGCTTCATAGAAAACACCGACCTTACCTAACCTTGTTAGTATGTTAAGATAAGCGTCTTATTGCTTCGTAATTACAATTGTTACTTAACCTATTACACCACACACCTAGAACAGCCACTCCCGCACACACACACACGGGAACCAGCATAACCACACCGAACCTCAATGGATATAACCAAAATACTTCTCCGGAAAACCTGTTACGGGCTCACCATAGCCCGTGCTACATGGACACTTCGTCCTGAGTAGCTAAATCTTTAACAACAACATCCGGAAACCGTTCATGTGGATACTTCAGTTTGTAGGTGTGCTATATAGTCGTAATGGCGCTTTCCCCTGATAATTCCCTTCCCCTTCAGTTTGTAGGTTTCTCACACAACCCACTGTTCGGCCGACGGGGAGACACCATCACTTGAGGTACTCGTGCGAAACATACGGTTCGGGATCTCCCCTATGAGACCCCCCCCCCCCATCACGGGTGGCGGCAGGGTAGATGACTGATTGACGGGACTGAAGCACGGGGGTTGGGGGGGGGGGGGCGGTGCACAGGGGGCAAGAGCACTGGCGGCCGCAGCACAGAGGAATGGGGAAACGGAAGGCGGCAGGGACGGAGTCCGCAACATAGGGTGCGGCTTCCCTAGAGGCAGCTGCACAGGGGGCATCAGCACAGGGGGCATCAGCACAGGAGGCGACAGCACAGGGCCGGGGCGGCGGCACTGGGGCCGACTGCACAGGGGGTGAGAGCACAGAGAACAGCTGCACATCGGACAGCAGGACAGGGGGTAAGGGCACAGAGGCCACACGCTGAACGTCCTTTTCAGTATAACGAGCAGGTCACGGGCCTCACCAACGTCCACATCAGAGGGCACAATCCCCTGCGCCGGAGAACCCGACGACGCAGGCGAGGAAGAAGCAGGAACCAAGGGGCCCCCGCACCAGCCACCAACACCACCTTGCCACGCGCCAGCACCACACCAGCTCCCTGCACACCATCATCACAATCCACAGAAGAGCTCCCAGTCCCCCCATAGTCCTGCGAGTCGGCCCAGGCCACACCACGAGGGAAAGACCCACTCGGCACCATTCCCGCGAGCATATGAAATATTACCGGAACAACCGTGGACATCTTCAAGAGGAAACTAGATTTATTCCTCCAAGGAGTGCCGGACCAACCGGGCTGTGGTGGGTATGTGGGCCTGCGGGCCGCTCCAAGCAACAGCCTGGTGGACCAAACTCTCACAAGTCAAGCCTGGCCTCGGGCCGGGCTTGGGGAGTAGAACTCCCAGAAACCCATCAACCAGGTATCAACCCGCCACTAACGCCTGGAGACAGGGCGTTGGTCGTCAGAGTTATCACATCTCCCAGGAGGCACCGCAGCAGAGCCCCCGAGTGGACACGCAACACCACGCATAGCTCGATCCCGCACTACTGCAGTCCCGACGACCGGGGGAACCAGACCACACACCACCGAAGACCGCACCGAAAACTAACTTCTGAAGCATATGAAGTCTGTCTGAAACATGTGCCTTTGAGGAAAGCCAGAAAGAGGTCCAACGTAGAAAGAGAACGCAGACGACACTACAAAAGAAGGAAAAATAACGGAAATTATTAAACAGACACGACTTTCCATACAAAGAAGGAATAATTTAAACAGGGAAATTGAAGAAATCGGACAGACTGAAGCATTCGTATCAGACTGAAGAAAGGGAACTACAACAGAAAGCAATTCAAGAAATAAAGAAAAATCAAAAATATTTCTTCACATATGCGAAATAAAAAGCAAAAACACTTTCAGTATTGGACCTATTCGTACAAGTGAAGGTTCATACACGGAGGATGACAAAGAAAATAGTGAAATCCTAAAAGAGTAGTATGAGGACATGTTTAGCACTCCAAAAAACAGCATGAAAGTGGAAGATCCGGACAACTTCTTTATGCGTGATATCAAACCCCTGTAAATATAACTAATATCAACACGAGCGTAGCAGATTTTGAAAGGGAAATTGACAACATGTCCATACATTCAGCCCCGGGGCCATACTCATGGAATTCAATTTTTATAAAGAAATGCAAGGTGCCAGTAGCACAGGCACTCAGTATAATGTAGAGGAAGAGCTTGGACACGGGGTAGATACCAAGACGCTTAAATCAGCAGACATAGCCCCTCTACACAAGGGAGGGAGCAAAGCATTGGCAAAGAATTATATACCAGTTGCACTAACGTCCCACATAATAAAAGTATTTGAGAGTGATCAGGAGTCAGGTCACTAGTTTCATGGAAACCAATGACCTCCACAACCCAGGCCAAAATGGATTTAGAGTAGGAAGATCATGCCTCTCACAGCTACTTAATCATTACAACAAAATCACTGAGGCATTAGAAGAAAAACAGAATGCAGATGTGGTATACATGGACTTTGCAAAGGCATTCGATAAATGTGACCATGGAGTGATAGCATACAAAATGATAGCAATGGGAATAACTGGTAAAGTAGGACGCTGGATACTCAGTTTTCTGTCGAGCATAACACAAAGGGTAACAGTCAATAATAGAAAATCGAGTCCAAGCACAGTTAAAAACTCTGTACCTCAAGGTACAGTCCTTGCACTACTGCTCTTCCTTATACCCATATCGGATAGACTCAAATACAAGTCACAGCTTCGTATCATCCTTTGCAGACGACACAAAAATCAGCATGAAAATTAATTCTGTTGAAGACATTGAAAAACTACAAGCAGATATTAATAAAGTTTTTGACTGGGCAGCACACAATAAATAACATGATGTTTAACAGTGATAAATTCAAGGTACTCAGGTACGGTAAAAATGAGGACCTTAAACATAAAACAGTACACAAACACAATCAAATCTGCCCATAGTAGGAAAACAGCATGTAAAGGATTTGGGAATAATGATGTCTGACGACCTAACGTTTAGGGAGCATAACCAAGCAAACATTGCATCGCCAGAAAAATGATAGGATGGATTACAAGAACTTTCAAATCCAGAGACCCCACCACAATGGTTGTACTCTTCAAATCACTTGTGCTGGTTGATACCCGATTGATGGGGTTTTGGGAGTAGTTCTACTCCCCAAGCCCGGCCCGAGGCCAAGCTTGACTTGTGAGAGTTTGATCCACTAGGCTGTTGCTTGGAGCGGCCCGTAGGCCCACATACCCACCACAGCTTGGTTAGTCCGGCACTCCTTGGAGGAAAGCTGTCCCGGCTTGAGTACTGCTACTGGAGACGGAGCAGGCAAGGGCGACTGAGGGGGATCCGGCAGTGGGGACAGGGCCACACAAACCACCACCTCAACATCCACACACTCATCCCGGCGGGCTGCAGAAACCGACACCACCACCACCGGGTCACCAGACAGCTGGGAAGCATCACTCACTTCAGCACATGGAGACAGGTCTGGGGTCGCTTACAGGGAAAAATCCTCCTCCCTGAAGAGGTTCACAGGGCTACCTCGGCACGCATCTCAACTAGCAGCCTAGTGCCCCGAGTCTGCACTGGAAATAAGTCCAGGGCTGGCCCGCATGGACAGAATAACCTATTGGCATTATCGACGACAGAATATGGCTAGTCGCATGGGCCAAAGTGCTGGTCCCACTCGGGACACCTTTCCACCTCCCAGCGACTACATTCAATCATTCTTTTAATTGACAAATAAGGCAAGAATTTACTTATATTACTGTAATGAGAATGATTAAATATGACCTTTAATGAGTGCAGCTTGTCCAGTTTACATGCTATGTGACATCACAGGATGAGCCTTCATCAATGCATTTGTTTAATTCCCTCAACAAGAACTGGCTATAACAAATACTTTGTTCATCATAAAGGAAAATTTATATGCTATTGTATTTTTAATGTGCAAAACTTTGAACTATTTAACATAACCCATTTCATTCAAATATATATGATATACATTTTACAAAGTTAAAACCAAGTATTCCTGACAAACCACAATCTTGAAATAAGTACGTTTAATTGGAATAATATCCCGGATAAATGAAAGTCGTGTCTGGAGCTCAGCTTTATTTAACCTTTCTGAGAAGGAATGATATTTACAAAATTAGGCTAATTGGCCTAAAGCAAGTGTTGTAAAAGGGGAGACCAACACAAATGGTGAATCTGTGTCCTGTAAACATCCGATTCTCTAGGTCCACTAAGTCAGCTTGGTCACCAGCTGGGCAACGAACAGACACCACTGTCATCACAGCCAAGCTGGAGGCCATTCAGCACATCAAATTATTTAAATAAATATGTCCTATAATGGTTCTCTCGTGTTTCAAACATGAGCCTTTAAATATTTCACTTTTCAAGTTGGAACTTATCCCATAACATTTTAATATTGCTATCAAAGATGTGAATTAAGTTTTTGAGTGTGTACAAATGAACTAAGTTTTGATATACAAAAATTATCAGATAAAATATAACAAGTTTTCTAGAGTGATGTGGTGGTGAACACAATAGGCAACAATGGGTCACACAGTTCAACAGGGCCACGGGTATAAAGAACAGAAATATCCCTACAATTTATCACAATGTTAGCCCCCTTTCTTTTGTACAAAACCTATGTATGCTGAGTACATCTATGTTAGCATATATTATGTACAAGCATGAGAATAATGGCCAACTAGGGTGACCACTCCAGTTTTACTTTATATAAATAATCCGTAGCCTCTTGTTAACTCGGCCATAAGCCGTGTGTGTGTGTGTGTCCCAGCCTGCCCAAGTTTGGTGCAGGAGACCTAGGAATAGCCAACAGGTTTTAAAATCTTCAACTTATTTCATCTTCCAGTGTAAATTGAAAAAGGAAACTATGCTGAAGTCCAAACCTGTTAGGCATGCCATTACACCGGACTGCAGCAAATGGGAAGGGGACAAAAATATTACAAGTAAAGATCTGGAATTACAGAACCAAGCAAAAATTGGTTATAACTCAGCAGAGGACCCAATAGAACTGGGCATGAATTGACACATGAGGTATAAAGGAGGTTTCAACAAGGAACATCAAGAAAAAACATGTCTAAATTTACCTGCTGAGAACAAAAGAATCAACTGCGTGAGCATAATAGAGAATCACAGGAACTTGTATGCCAACAAGAGATCAATACTGAACAGTGTGGGTTAAAAATAAACATATCCCAATTCCTCTTCATTTTACTATTTTGTAAGAAAACATATAGGATGACAAGAAATGATACACAGGGCATAACAAATGAAAGGCATACTTGGCAAGTCTGAGAAAGTAGAAACATTAAGGAAGCAACACCGAAGTTTAATGTAGTAAATATAATCGCGATGTTCGAAAGATTCATATAGAAAATGGAATGCAATAATATTAGTGTTATATTATCCATATTGTGATAGCTGCTGTTTTTTTTTCTGGTCACTAACAAATACTCGTTCAAATAAATTTTGAGACAATGCAAATTAAATATTTTTGAGCTGAGCTTGGCAGTTATAACACATGTACATAAAAACAAAAGAAAACTGCTCACTTTAAGAAAAAACCTGCCAATAATTTCATTCTTGAAAATTTGCTATTATTGAGCAAACAATTAAATAACTACAGTATTTCCTGATTTGGCCAGGCACAGATCAAAAATTTGCCCACTACTGTACACAGCAATGCACTTACAGGACACACAAGTACATGAATGCACACAAGATGAATTAACAACAGAGCTTTCTTTGGCACCAAGTGGTGTGAACATTTCTAGCAAGATCAAGTTCACAGGTCGCGCACTTTTTACACAATTTAACTGTGCCACTTCTTTTACATTTATAATTTACCCATTATGCATCAATGTATTTTACAGCATCTTGTGCCTGCAAGGCTGTTGTATATAATGGCAAAACAAAGATTCAAACTCTTAATATATTTTTCAGACTAGATCTTTTTTTTTTTTACCAAAACACAAGAAAACATAGATACGAGACTACAAACTTTTACCCTGAAATTGCTCACTACATCACAGCGTTCACTGAACACACCCAAAAACCATCATAATTTAGCACCATTACAAACTCGGTAACCTACCGATGGTGACTGGGAGTTTTTTGTTCAACCGGAAATTTTGCTAACCAACTGAAAGTCCCTTTTCCCGTTTTGCTTATTTTTTTGTATACACTTGGCCTATGATCACATTAAGGTCTTTCATCAATACCTCCAACCTCTCATCAACTGAATCAAGCACACTACAAGTCACATCTAAAAACCTTCAAAGGCAGCCACAAAACTTTGAAACTTGTGTACTTCAAATACAAAATGTGGACAATACAATTACTCCCATGTTTAAAAAAAACTTTGGCCCTTAGTTTTTGAGGTTTATACTTTTTGAGGAACAACTGAGGTGGCTGAAGCCTCCCAAGAGACCGACCATTGCGTCCAACGCCAATCATATTTCTCACAAGCTCAAGAGAAATACATTTTGATAATTACAAGATGAATACATAACTGTTACATCAAATTAATAAGTTATTGATTCCACTATAATCATGTAATCATAAACTGCATGATGAGACTGACTATCAGGATATCCTATCTAATGATAGTCAATTGTCTTTAAAAGGTATGCCAAAATTAAAACAAAGAACTTAAAGACCTGATCGCAGGAAGTATGTGAAGGGGTACAATAAAATAATAAAATAAAGGAGAAAGAGCTGTTGTTTTCTGTCATTGTAAGGTGACCTCCAAATCCATAACATGACCAAGACCTCTCAACTAAATGCTCATTAACCTGTTTCATCTCAAATTCTGAATTTTAACACATCATTCCTGAAGCAGAAATATCAACAATTGGTTAAGAACATGACAAACTTTTCACAGCCCAGTTGGAACTATAATGACTGAGATGCAGATTGGCCAGCAAAACAATAAATTAAATAACATTAATTTTTAGCATCGAAATGCCTGAGACACTGCCTCAAATCCAACCCTGGGGACCTAATGACAGTCACCAAGAACACAAAACACACATTCACAGGACTTACACTTGGATAACTGATTATGGAAAGCAGTAAAGAAATTCAACTATGCTCTCCAGGATCTACTGATAGCAAATAGGCAATGAAATGTGTACCACAACTACAGAACTAGAATCATCAATGAAAACTCAACTTATTTCCATAACAGGGAAATAAAGATTGCAGTATTAATTGACGGCTTCCTTCCAGTAGTAACAAGCTGGTAAGAATAGTGGTTCACAAGTGTACCGTTGTGAAATGTGTAAAGCAATAAATACAACAATTTTTTTTTCAAACCTAATGGGCTGGAGAGCTCTGCCAAGACTTCCAGGTATCCATGTGGGCTTGACGAGTCAGCCAGCAGAGAAGGAACACAGTGTGACGAAGGGAACAGGAGACAGATGTTGCTCAAAGGGGTGAACCTCAAGACCCCAGGGAGTGTGATACAGCGCCAGCCTCTGGCATAGCAGGTATTACATTGTGACATGGCAGAGCTGTTCAGTAAAGGCTCAGCCTTTTGGAGGTGTCTAGTTGTGTCATTCATCACAGAGAAACATAGATGACATTGGGGACATCGGTGGAGGGTAGCCAAGGATAGGCCGGTCCAGACACAGGACGGCAGGTAGCAGGTGAATCCTGTGTGGACCCAGCAGTCACCGAGGCATGTGGCAGTGCACATACTGCACCTCTTGTCGTGGTCATGGCAGTGGTGGAAGTTGGCCACAGCCAGTAAGACCCAGAAATGGGGTCTGGCCACACTGCCACACCCAACACTTTGGACTTGACCAATGTTCACACATCCAGAACATGATTAAGAAAATATAACACTTTATAAATATTCCCAGGCATGTCTATGTCCAGACAACTGTCCCAGGCAGCTATCACAGGCAGGCCAACACTATGTGTCACTCATGAAGGAATTCTGTGCCTTCATTTCTTCCAGTTCTCTTTTCTGAGCTCGTAGAAAAAGTATCCTGAAATGTGAAAGTAAATATGTCATGAAGGTTCTAGGAAAATTTACAATTCCCTAACATCTCATTATCCATCCACTTTTTTTAATCATGATCTATGGTCAGATTACAAACAATATAAAAAGATTTGAAAGGGTGTGATTATTATTACCTCATGCCTCTCTTTCTACCTTTCATGGGGTGTAAAGGAATTAGCCCAAATAGACAAACAGGAAAAAAGAGGATTAAAAAGATATTCAAAGTGACAGTCACTGACAAATTTCCTCACATTATAAAAATACAGAAAAGCAGTGCTATCATTCACATCAGTATATCAACTGCTTTATAGACAAAATCCAACTTGCACGTCAAACTAAACAGTCAAAATCTTCCCTCGATCATATCAATGCTTCCACCTGGCCTTATTCACTACTGTGTCTTCCTGTTCTGTTCACTCTCAATCTAGCCTTCCTCAACTAAGCCATCTGTATCATTGATGGCAGAATGGGCACCATGACTCTGCCATACTGGCAACATAATACTTAAGCAAACAATTTCCCCTGGTTTTACTACTGACATCTTTCCATGACTGTCATTTCATATTTAATCACCACATGCCACAAGTATTTCATGTGTTGACAAGCACTGGTATAAGCACTCCTTCATTCACACCAAGTCTCATCCTATCTTACTTTGTTCTCTTAACCAGGGCTTTCATTACACTAGACAGTTGTTACAAACAGGTTCACTAACTTCAGCTGCACAAATTCAACTTTCCTCAAACAAAAGCCTCATGCATACTGTATTATTGCATCAACTCCATTCACACAAGATTCCTTCAGTCCCTTTGATTTGTAGGCCACAACAAAATTAATTCATCAAAGTACAAGTGTGATGGGAGTTATTTTACACAATAATTGATAGTTAAGTGGCAAGGTCCAAGAGCTAGACCTCACTCCCTGCACACACAAATACCTTTGTTCATGGAGTGTGGCCTGTATCTCTGCCAGACGTACAAGGGAACGTGCCATCTTGAGCTCGGCAGATACCCGTGTCATCACTAAACTCCCAACAGAATGAGCTTCTTCAGACAGTCTCTGTGCCTGAAAGTTTAAAATTAACCAGAATAAAGGGGAATTCTTGTTTAAGTCTCAAATGTATATCCTCCTAGGCCAAAAGATTCACTACTGAGGTTGTATCTATGTACTGATCACATTGGCAAAGATGACAAATACAATTAATACCAGGAAATCAAAATACCTATACACAAATACACAAAAGCCAGAGACAAAATTTGTACAGAGAACTTTGACATTAAGTGGTATTTAGGTAGTTTCACCTCCAGGAGCACCACCAGCTGAAATGAATTTAATGTATTTCTTTGAATGTTGAAGTATATATATTTACAATTGTTTTCAAAATGTATTTGTAGTAATTTGATTTACCTATAAATTATCTTTTGTCTATCTTTCGTTGGTTGTGGGAATCAATGTCCCACAGCACAGTCTCTGACCATGCTTCTTGGTTGGTGGTCCCATCAACCAGGCTGTAAGATGCTGCTGCTCACAACCTCATGTATGAATCACAGCCTGGAATTTTTTTGGGGCATATATCTATTCTCTTTTTTAACACCACCAGAAGTCGGCTAGTTATGTCCATTGTGCGTTTTTCAACGGGGTTATTTTGCACTTCCTGCCATACCTTCTGGTCTCGTGTTATTTCCACGTTCATATTTTTAATCAGTCCTCTTCAGGTTTTTTAAGTGTAAATTGTGTAAATTATTATGTATCTCTCAGGCTTACACTAAGAGAATAGAGTTCAAGAAATTTTAAACATTCCCAATAGTTCAAATAGTTTATTGAATGGATTCATGCAGTAAAAGATCTCTCTGCACTTCCTCCAGATTCAGGTAGAGCTATTAGTGTGCAACAATATTCTACCCGCTTGAGTTGATTTCGGGGCTTTTTAGTGTCCCCGCGGCCCAGTCCTCGACCAGGCCTCCACGAATCGACTTGAGAATGGTCCAGGACGGACTGAAACGTCGTCGTCCCTTCACCTTCTAGTGTGTGGTCTGGTCAACAGGCCTCCACCCCCAAGCAGCAGCCTGTGACAACTGACTAACTACCAGGTAACATCAGGGTGAAAGAAACTCTGCCCATCGTTTCCCAGGATCGAACCCGGGACCACAGGATCACGTGTCCAGCGTGCTATCCGCTCGGCCAGCTGGCCCCTGGAGAGAACTAATATCTTAAAAGTACCATTATTAGTTTGGCATCTCTTGTTTGAGATTATCCAGGAAGACATTTCTCTTGCAGTTGTAGCAGCTACTTTATCATCTTAAAAGTTAAGGTATTCTGAAACAACTGTTCCCAAATCTTTTATATTGCATTTTCTTTCTATAGTGGGATTTGAATGCATTTTATGTGTGATTTCTGTTTTCATAGTTTCATTTTTACTGTGGTGGAGTAGCTGAAACTTATCTTCATAAATAATGATGTTTTCTGGAAGGTATGCTAACCACGAAACTGATTTACATCAGTTTGGAGGTTCAGTGTGTCTTCTATATTGCATACTCTCATAAAAATTCTTGTGTCTTTCAGCATCAAATACAGTTTTAGCAAATACATTACATTTTAATCACCATGCCCTCACAATTTCATGCCACAGAGAAATATCAGCACTGAGAAAAATATTCTAGTAATCCAGCAAAATATTAGTTTCTTAAATAGTACTAAACATTAAAAAACCCAGCATTGAATGTAATGAAACACCAATTTCTGAGTGAGCCCAGGTGGTTCCCTGAGGATACTATATACTGATATGATACCATCACTAGGTCATATCAGCCGTGAAGTTTTATAGGCCTATCGGGGACCAGTGCCAAAAACCTGGCGCACTCAAAGATGTGCAGAGAGTGGTGACATTTATTTTTGCCACCTCACTGAGGAAGGCAACCAGAAAGTCAGTCAAAACAAACCAAGCTGGCTTCAAGAGAGGCTAAAGCCACAAAACCTGCAGTAAGAGCTTCCCCCAATTATGTAAACTATCAAATTTTCCTTGAAATAGCATGAGTGTTTGCCCCACCTTCCCCACTTACTTGGGGGGGGGGGGGGAGGTAGCTCACCACCAGCCAGCATCTCAGCCCTCAATTCTAGGGCAGATGTAGGCATCTACCTGACAACCTGAGAGGAAGGGAGTAAACCAGGGAGCCACCAGGGCTCACCCATTAATTTGATTTTCATTACATTTAATGCTGGTTTTCTGGGTCAAGCCACTTGTGGCTTCCTGATGTTAACTACCCATTGATAAGGAACACACATGGTAACCCACCAGACAGGATGAAGCATTGCAGGACTCAAAATGACAATGAGACGCTACCAAGACATGACCCATAGCAACACAACCTGCCAAGGTTCAGGAACATTGACAAGATACAGGGCTGCCAGGACCCTGTTCAACCCACAAAACCTTTGTTTGAGGATAACAGCCCAAGACATGGCTGCAAACACTGCGAACAGAACTGCTTTTTTTCCCAGGGATATCCCTGCACGGGCCCTAAGCCTCTGGCTGGCTCACTAAGTGTTACTTGTTTCTGTTTTACTTAGGCAGCCCGAGAATTCGGCAGAAGAGCCACACGAAGTGACCAGCCCCGAAGCGCCAAGGACTGTACAGATCCGCCACGGGTGAGACAAAGAACCACAGGGATGCAATCCGAACAGAGCTGGATCAGAAGTCTCGAGGAAGTAGAATCCGCCGCAATGCCAGCCACACAACAGCAAAGAGCTGTGAGCCCGATGGAAGAACGGAGCCCAATGACCCTGGCCGATCTGGTAAGCGCTGGTCATAAAGCCCCAGCCGAGAGATGAGGCATCCGTGAACCATTGAGCGTGGAACGGGAAAGGCATCATGGCACCGAAACCCGAAAACCCTTAGAGGAAGCCAGTGACTTAGTAACAGACACCGGGGTGTGAACCCAGCGGCCACAAGGGGCGAAATGGGCTACCCTGAAGATACCAGAACAGCAACCAAAACCAAACCCTGCCCAGTGGGTAAACCAGAACAACAAATTCCAGTCTTCCACACAACAGCTCGAGCAACCTGGTTCCCCCCAGGACAGCTGGAGGCAGGATTGCAACCATACCAATGCCGCAGAAGGGAGAGAGAGACAGAACCAGTCTGCAAATCCCACATAAGTCCCAGGTCCGAACCTGAGAAAGAACCAGCCAAGGAAGAAATTCCGCCACTTCACCAGGAACCCAAATCCGGCAAGCTGGGAAAAAACAGACCCCTAGCTAGCAGACACCCACCAGCCAACAAAAAAGGCTGCCAGCCAGGTAGGCACCAAAACCTTGAACAGCCCCAAATCCAGGAAAAAGGAACCGAAAACTGGAACCAACACAGGCGAAACTGGGTGTTACCGGAGATCCAGTTTCTGACCGTGGGTCTCACTGGCTCATTTGAGTACCACAAATACTGTAAGTTTACCATAAGTTTCCACCTGTGTCCCCTTGTTTGTGTTCCACCAGTGCTAAAGTGTTTGTCTTTGTCTACCCTGTCAATTCCCCGGAGAATTTTGTAGGTTGTCATCATGTCTCCCCGTACTCTTCTGTTTTCCAGGGAAGTGAGGTTCAGCTCCCTTAGCCTATCCTCATAGCTCATACCTTTCAGTTCCGGGACGAGTCCGGTGGCATACTTCTAAATCTTCTCTAGTTTTGTCTTGTACTCACCTAATTGTGTTTGCGGGGGTTGAGCTCTGGCTCTTTGATCTTTGTGTTTAACTAGGTAAGGACTCTAGGCTGGAGCTGCATATTCCAGGATTGGACTGACATTTGTGTTATACAAGATGCTAAACGATTCCTTACACAAGTTTCTAAAGGCAGTTCTTATGTTAGCCAATCTAGCATATGATGATATCCTTTTGATCCTTTTTATCACTGATGATATCCTTTTGATCTGGGCCTCTGGGGACAGGTTCGGTGTGATATCAACACCCATCTGTCAGACAGATGACAGATCTTCATGTCTTGATTCTTCTCATAATTTTTGCATTATCAGCAAACATTAAGAGGAATGAGACTATACCCTCTGGAACATCGTTTACACATATTAGAAACAGGATGGGTCCAAGTACAGAGCCCTGTGGGACTCCGCTGGTGACATCTTGCCACTCTGATGTGTCTCCCCTCACCGTTACTCGCTGTTTCCTGTTGCTTAGTTACTTCATTATCCACTGGAGCACCTACCTTTTACTCCTGTCTGTTGCTCCAGCTTTCATAACAGCCTTTTATGGGGTACTGGGTCTTTATGGGGAACTGCATCAAAGCTTTCCTGACAGTCCAAGAAAATGTGTGTGTTTATATTTTATAATTTTTACCTGTGTGTTGGTTGCCAGGGGCCTTACGATTCTTATGATTTAAATGAAGTCTTCCATGCAAATAATTAGTTTCAACCCCCATATACTGTACAGTACTTCGTTTGACTGAATTCACACTATGTATTTCCTTTCAAACACTATTAGTGCTGACTCTTTTAGTTATTCTCTTCAGTGCTTCACACATTTTTAGAGTTGTTTTCAAATTACTGTAACACCAATCTCTAAACACTGAACATTTTAAAACTTATTCAACTTGCGATTTACAGAGAGAAGAAAAGATAATCCTAAAATTATTACTTACCGGCTTTTCTAGGGCCTCAGCTGGCCAATTTTGTACGTGTGTAATGAGGTTTTCATTATAATAATTAGCGAGGCTAGGGGTGAGGGCAGGTACCAACGGCCGTAGCCCTGCTAGTGATCCTCCTGCTGTCTGTGTCAACGACTGCAAGGAGTTAATACTGCTGTTTGGGCTACCCACTGAAAGCAAGAGAAAAATGTATTATTAAATGAAATTACTATCATAATGGATTTATTACCTAGATTGTTATTTTTGTAACAGACTGTCCATTTGTCAACCTATGCCACTGCAACTCATCCTGTATCACCGCCGTAATACAATATCTCAGACAAACAATTGTCAATACTGTACAGGAAATTACTTTCCCTTGGTGAAAACCAAATGCAAAGTGTTCTGAACCCTTAAAGGGTGCAAAATAAATAGTTTATATATATATAAAATATATATATATATATATATATATATATATATATAAATAAATATTTATTTATTTATTTTGCTGGGGTGAGTAACTATTACGGGACGGTGCACCACAGCTATGAATGGTTGGGAGTACCACGTAAGATTTAAAAGTCCCGCAACTTCACTAGGTTTACATCAGCTTCCTCAGTGCTCTTGTCAACACACGCCATTTTTTTAATAAATTGTGGGCAACATTCCCTAGTGTGAGAACCTCAGTACTGAGTGAGCAACCAAGGCATCGCCTAAAAATGTCAAAATACGTATGTAACTGGTATCACTTAGCCATGATAGAATTACAGAAAAGCCTGACTGTGTTTACTAGTTGTGTTTTTGCGGGGGTTGAGCTTTGCTCTTTCGGCCCGCCTCTCAACTGTCAACTGTTTACTATTTTTTTTTTCCCCCCCACACACACACACACACACACCCCAGGAAGCAGCCCGTGACAGCTGACTAACTCCCAGGTACCTATTTACTGCTAGGTAACAGGGGCACTTAGGGTGAAAGAAACTTTGCTCATTTGTTTCTGCCTCGTGCGGGAATCGAACCCGCGCCACAGAATTACGAGTCCTGCGCGCTATCCACCAGGCTACGAGGCCCCTCCCCTGTGATAAAGACTGTGTACAATGTTCAGATCTCAGTGAACATAATGCTGTTCAAGATGTTCACAATGCTAGCCACAGCACATAGCCATTGTTTCGTCCATCTAAGAATCTTCAAAACTTTTGTGTTTCTTTACAAAATAAACGTGTGGAAAATTATTCATTTACAGGATTTAGTGACCAGGATTCTGACGATAGCAGGATAGTGGTGAGAATTAGTGATGTGCATAGTATGGTAGGAGGAGTAATCTTGGTGAGAAGGGAGGGAGAGGTAGCGCCATCTGCTGACTGTGTGGCAACCTGTTATTGTCTGGACTCACCATATCAGCTTAGTGGTTCGCTACAGTGAACACAGATGTACAGTAGATACTTATGTATAACGTGTGTATAGAGTGTAATAACAGCAAAAAGAGTATGTTGGGAGGAGCCATTTTGGTGAGGGAGGGAGTGAGGCTGTCATCTGCTGGCTCCTGTGTCACTTATCATGCAGTTTTTGTGGCCACTATGTTGTTTGGACACCATACCAGGTTAGTTGTAGTTATGGTGAACAAAACATGTAAATACTTACATATAACATGTGTATTAGTGTAATAAAACCACAAACAATATTGTGGGAGGAATGTTGGCGAATAAGGTGTTGAAGAGGGAGGGAGGGCTGGCTGGGTGTGGCAGCCCACTCTTGTTGTTGGACTCACCATACCAACTTGGTAGTTTGCTATGAACAAAACATGCAGATACTTATATTTACATAATAAAGTGTGTGAACTGTATCACACTACACACTATTGAACATTATTATTAGAAAAAAATAAAAATAAATAATCAATTAATCAGACACATTGAAATAATTAAGTAACAATATCTTTGTGACAACTCCCGCCTGACAGCGCGGGTAGAGGAGACCAGTGCAGGGCGCTTAATGTGCCAGCGTCTCAATTTTGCCAGACTTCCTCGCCCTATTGCGGCCAAAATATGTCACCTACGATTTTTTTTATTATATTTCCCATGATCAGATAACACATTTTAACAATCTTAGAAGAAAAAAAATGTAATTTTTTTTACTTGTAAAAAAAAATGTAATTTTTTTTACTTGTGCCTGGGCATGTTGCAGGCTATAATCACAAGTGCTTCCCAGAGATTAAAAAAAAAAAAAAAAAAAAAAAGAATATGGTAGGATGCTTTGAAAATTGAAAAATATGCACTCCAGATTACCTACATTATTGGATGTGGCAACACACAGGTTAGTGAAATAGAAATACACAAAGTAAATTTTTGTCAAAATTATTTTTCATAAGAAATATCTAGATCTTTATGCCTTGCCTTCTAGCTTTAAGTAATGGCATTTATTAACATTCAGTTTGTGTTATACAAAGAAATCACACTAATGCGATATATATCAATGAGAAAATCAATTGGAGCTTTAAGGCGACTCACAGGTTCGAGTCACCTAAGAGTTCCAGTTGATTTTCTCATTCAAGTTGTGTCATATTTGATTTTGACGTTGTGAAAAGAAGTGTCTTCAATGACTTCTACTTTCAATGCATTCCACCTGCTGATGACCCGTACAGAACAAAGACAATTTCCTCATTTCTACAACTCGATTGCATTTTTAGCTTCCACTGACATTCTCTTTTCTCTCAATTTAATAACTGTCTTGTTCACCTTGTTTACTCCATTCAGTATCTTGTATGAGGTGGAGGTTGTGGTTGTAGTTAAAGTTATACCACTGGTTGTGCTTGGTGATTGTAGCAATTATATCTTTTTCCATAAAGGGATATAGGCCTTATGCCTAGTATTAGGAACAGGTTTATTTTCCACCTTGTTTTTCCAAGAATATCATATACCAGTAATTTTACAGTGCTACCCAATCATCATGATGTGCCTAGGATGTGAAAGTGTGTGTGCTAACCACTACAACCCAGGGTGCTCAAGGTTGGTAGTTATAGTGAGGTAGTTCACCTTGTCTGTAGCTATAATTATAGTGGATTTTGTAGTGGTTGCTGTTGTAATGACTGCTAACCTATCAGTGACTATTAAGAGAGCAAGATTTAGCTCTATCTCCCACCTCCTAGCCATTTATACCTGGCACATACTACTTACCTCTCAACAGTGACATTTTTGTCATATTTCTTTTTAAAGTTGTGGATGGAACTGCCTCCAATGTATTCCATTTGTCGACTGCCCATACAGAGAACAAGAACTTCCTATCTTTCTGACTTAATTTAAAGTCTAGCTTCTACCAATGTCCCCTCATCCTACCTCTTTTTAATTAAATAGGCTTCCTTTATCCACTTTATCTATTGCCCCTCAAGATCTTTACATAGTTGTTACATCTCTGCTGTAGGGGGGGGGGGATGGGGGGATAGATTTGTGAATAAAGTAATAAAATATGCAGAAAAAGCATGACTAATGATACTTGGAGACTTTAATATGAAAAATAATAGACTGAGAGGCCTATGACACAAGGACAGAAAAGCTTTGTAATAAACCTCTTCCTGACAGCATTCATGTATCAGTATTTATCTTATTGCAAACCTCGGAACTTTCTCAAGTTTCTGTTTATGCTTCATAAGGTAAGAGTTTCATGTTCGAGTTGCATACTAAAGTAATGGTCTCACATAGGAAGAGACTTGAAAGCCTCAGTGTTTAGATTCTTAAATGTGGGAGGGGGTGTACATTGGTTTGAAGAAATTATAAGGTAATGTTGAAACCAACTTGAAATTAGCAAATATTGAGAGCAAAAACTACTCCCTCTTTTGGTCATCTGTAGGCCTAGTTACCAACTCTTAGTAAGTACAGTACATAATTAGCAAGTAACCAAAGTTAAGTTAAATGTCTTGGTCAAATTTACCAGATAGATGTCAAACACCTGCCAATGCCAAGGTGGAGGTCAAGTCTAACCCCCAATAACCCACCACCACCCTAACCCAACATTGCCTTGCCTTCATATAAAAATTCTCTCTACAATACATATACAAAGTCAGCATGTCCTCTCATAACTGAACTCCCTAAAAACCCACTGGTCAATATGTATCAGTGTAACTTCATTTAACTTTGCCAACATAGAGGGACTAAAAATGAAGGCAAAATACACAATACTGATCATTAATGGCCTCACAAGCCAAATGCAGTATTTGGAGCTTCCGCAGAAACCCATGCAGAAATTCGTCTGGATACCCAATATAATCTATAGATGTGATAAAGTAAATAGGTCCACTATCTACAATCAGACACTCACACAATATTTACAATAGACAATAGACTTGATAATGGTCCAGGACAGACCGAAACGTTGTCGTCTCTTAATCCTCTGGTGTGTGATTTGGTCGTCATATCTTCAGCTATGTTATTGTGACTCATTGTCTGCATAACAGAGCCAACAAGGGCTGAAAATATTCTAGATCTGATCTTCACAAACAATGAAGAAATAATCAAGAGCATTGCAATCTCAGATACCATATACTCAGATCACAAGCCCATGAAGTACAAACTACGTACCATCAATACCAGTAATATATCTATAAAAAAAAAAATGATCAAGCAAGTTCTCTTAGAAAGAGAATGCAGACTGCACTACAGAAGGAAAAAATAATGGAAATGTTTAACAGCATTTTGATAGCCTAAGCAACCTCCGATAGAATTGGATCTATGCTTACAAGTGAAGGGTTACACAGAGGATGACAAAGAAATTAGTGAAATCCTAAAAAAGCAGTATGAGGACATGTTTAGCACCCCCAATAAACAGCTTCTTTATGGATGATATCCAAACCCCTAAAAATATAACTGATAACACAAACTCTGCAAATTTTTAAAGAGAAATCAACAGCATGCCCATGCACAGCCCCAGGACAGAGTGCATGGAGTCCTGGAATTCAAGATTTGTAAAGAAATGCAAAGTGCCAGTTGCACAAGCACTGAGAGAAAGTTTGGACACTGGTGAGATACCAGAAGAGCTTAACCACTTAACTGCGCCAACCGAGTATTCTCGGTCGGCGGGAAACTGCGCCAACCGAGAAAACTCTTATTTTATCCGTACCCATTCTAAATCTGAGAGAGATTGGTTGTGTACGAAATGGACTCTTAGGACCTCCAGTGAGAGGCAGCCATCTTGGAAAAAA